TCCAACACCGCCATCATGCTGACATCTATCTTTCTCACAAGTCATACCACCCTTGACCCTCACGCGGCAGGTATATCCTTACACACCCTTTTGTCTTTCCAACTTCACACACACACTTACCTCGAATACGAAGATCATTGACTCTGGAGCCACACATCATATTGTTGTACACCACATTTTTCACAAACATTAGAACTGTGCATCCCATTCCAGTCACTTTACCAAATGGTAGTTCAGTGATAGTCAATCAAGTTGGAAGTACACCACTCACCGACACCCTAACTCTATATGATGTTCTCTTTGTTCCTCATTTTTTCTTTTTAACCTTGTCAGTGTCAGCATGTTGACCACCACCCACAACTGCACAATTGATTTTTCTCTTCATTCTTGTGTCATTCAGGACCGCACTCGGGGCTTGTTGATTGGGAGGGATAGACGCATTGGCAACCTCTACTACTTAACTACCAGATGTTTTTCTTTTTCTGTTGTTCATCATGTTTCCACTCACTCTAAAAGTAGCCTATGGCACTTTAGATTGGGTCATCCTTCCAATGTAAAACTTCAGTATATTAATGACTTCTTACAAATTTCGAATATTTCTCATTGTAAGATTTGTCATTTAGCTAAACAACGTAAATTATCTTTCGTTTCTAACAATAGATTATCTGATAATCTATTTGATCTAATCCACATTGACATTTGGGGACCCTTCTCTCCATCCACTGTCGAAGGATACAAATATTTTCTCACAATAGTTGATGATTGCACTAGAACTACTTGGGTGTATCTCCTTCGTCAAAAGTCCGACGTTCTTACTATTCTCCCGAATTTTATACTCTTATACTTACACAATATAATATTTTCATTAAATCTGTGCGATTTGACAATGCGTACGAGCTGAATTTTCATTCTTTTTTCAAATCGAAGGGCATTGTTTCTTACCATTCTTGTGTTGAGACTCCCCAACAAAACTCTGTCGTTGAACGTAAACATCAACACATTTTAAATGTAGCTCGTGTTTTGTTGTTTCAATCCCATATTCCCCTTGTGTATTGGGGCGATTGCATCTTGACCGCTGTTTACCTAATTAACCGTATACCGTCCTCCTTGTTATCAAATAAAACTCCATTCGAACTGTTAACTCAAAAAAAAACCTTCCTATGATCACTTGCATACCTTTGGTTGTCTATGTTACTGCTCAACTCTTGATAGTCATCGCCACAAATTTTCATCTCGTTCCAGGGCTTGTATCTTTCTCGGTTATCCTTCGAGCTACAAAGGATATAAACTTCTCGACATCGAGAGCAACTAAATTTTTATTTTACGTAATGTCATTTTTCATGAACATATCTTCCCATTTCTTTCCTCTCAATTACCTGATCCCATTCACAATGATTTCTTTCATGATTGTGTTTTACCGGTTCCTGTCCATATATCTACACAATCCTCAGATTGTCTTGATACAACTATTTGCTCACAACGTGAATCCTCCCAAACACACTCATCTCACCCACTACGTATAACACGACCACCCTCTTATTTGTCTGACTATCACTGCTACCATACAGATACCCGTGCACTCTATCCTATTTTTCGTTCCTTACTCATACCAAACTTACCTCCCAACATCACAACTTTATTTGCACCATTTCCTCCCACACTGAGCCTACCAACTTTCATGAAGCTAACCAATCCGATGTTTGGATGAATGCTATGAATGTGGAGTTGCGTGCCTTAGAGGATAATAACACTTGGTCCATTGTTTCCCTCCCTCCTGGGAAGAAACCTATTGACTGCAAGTGGGTTTACAAAATTAGATATCAAGCTGATGGGACCATAGAAAGATACAAAGCCCGTCTGGTTGCTAAGGGCTACACACAACAATTTGGCATCGATTTTCTTGACACTTTTTCTCCTGTTGCTAAATTGGTTACTGTCAAGATTTTGCTTTTACTTGCTGCTATCCATGGTTGGCACCTGACTCAATTGGACGTCACCAACGCCTTTCTACATGGTGACCTTCACGAATAAGTTTATATGACTATTCCTCCAGGTTATTCTCCTCGAGAGGGGGAGACTTTTCCACATCAACCTGTTTGCCACCTCCACAAGTCAATCTATGGGTTGAAACAAGCTTCCCGACAGTGGTTTCATAAGTTTTCACGAACATTACTTCAAGAAGGCTTCTATCAGTCACAATGTGACCATTCCCTATTTGTCAGACAACAAGGTGAAACCTTCTTAGCATTGTTGGTGTATGTCGATGACATTGTTATTGCCAGTAATGACGATCAGGTTGTCGAAGAACTCAAAGGTACACTCAAACAAAAATTTAAAATGAAAGATTTGGGAACTCTCCGATATTTTCTTGGACTTGAAATTGCAAGAAATAACACAGGAATCACTTTGTGCCAAAGAAAATATGCATTGGATCTCTTAACTGAGACTGGATATCTTGGTTGTAAACCCTCATCTATTCTTACGGATCCTAATATCAAAATGTCTAAAGATGATGGCGAGCTCCTGAGTGATATCACCAGCTATCGACGACTAATTGGAAAACTGTTGTATTTAACCATCTCTCGCCCTGACATATGCTACTCTGTCAATATATTAAGTTAATTTCTGGCTACTCCTAGAACCAGTCACCTCCAAGCCGCCTTACGGATTCTCCAATACATCAAGAGAACCCCTGGACAAGGTCTTTTCTTTCCTTCATCATCTGCCATTCAGATTAAGGCCTTTTCTGATATTGATTGGGGGACATGTCTGGATACTAGAAGATCCTTCACTGGTTTTTTTGTTTTCCTTGGGTCTTCATAAGTCTCATGGAAATCAAAGAAACAACAAGTCGTTTCTCGGTCATCTGCCGAAGCCGAATATCGCTCCATGGCCAACACTACTTGCGAAATTGTTTGGACTCTGAAGCTGTTGCGTGACTTAAAAGTTCAACACCAAAGCCCTGCATTACTTTACTGTGATAATCAAGCTGCTCTACATATTGCTTCAAATCCAATGTATCATGAAAGAACAAAACACATTGAACTTGATTGTCATTTTGTTCGTGAGAAGATTCAAGATGGTACCGTGAAGACGATGCACATATCCACTCGAAATCAACTGGCAGATTTAATGATAAAGGCCCTTCATCCTGCACAATTCGCCAATTTACTGAGCAAGATGGGCACAATAAATCTGTATCTTCCATCTTGAGGGGGAGTATTAAGAATAATTAATATATTTAAATTGTAACCGTTTTTATTCCTTTTTTTTCTTTCTTTTGTCCGTTGCCCATGTACCAGCACTGGTACGTTTTCCTGCATTATGTGTTCCTGCCTCTGTATGTTTTTCTGCATTTTTGTTTTCTTCTGTTATGGTGCCCCTGTGCCCTGTATTCTGTTTCATTTTTGTTTCTTCTGTTATGGTGCCATTGCTGATGGCTATATATATTATGTAAGCTGCAAACATATGTAGGTAATAAAAATATTTCTTAAGTTCATTTTGCTCTGCCTCCTTTCTGTCAATTTTTCTATTACAGCTAGACTCTTATAGGTTTCTAAGATGCAGACTGGGCATGTAATAGGGATGACAAGAGATCGACAGCTGGTTTTTATGTGTATTTTGGCTCAAGTTTAATTTCCTGGAGCTCTAAAAAGCAACATGTGATGGCAAGATCTAGTGCTGAATCTGAATACCGGTTCTTAGCTCATGTCTCCTGTGAAATTTCATGGTTAGAATCACTACTTGCAGAGTTATCTATTTCTCTTTCAGAAACTCCTATTACTTTGTGTGATAACATGAGTGCAAGTCAACTAGCAAGTAATCAAGTTTTTCATGCGAGAACCAAGCACATAGAAGTTGACATTCATTTTATACAGGATAAAGTCCTTGACAGAAAACTTGAAGTGAGGTATGTCCTTCTCAAGATCAAATTGCGGATTGTTTAACAAAAGCTCAAATTGGTGCTCAATTCTGTCATTCAAAAAGCAAACTTGGAGTGCTCGAAAGACCTCTCTCACTACCAAGCTTGAAGGGGAATGTCAAGAATAATGTTGTGACCAGCTGTCTATAAACAACCAAGAGAACACCACATCACATAATCCTACAGAATAGAACACCAGCTGTAGATTTTTAATCAACAAACTATCACAATTTTTTGCTGTAATTTTAGAGAGAGAGTTTAGGGAGAGAGAGGGCAGGAAAACAGAATATGTGTAATTGGAGTTCTCTGTTTTCTTGTTTCTCTTAAACTGCAGAAATTTTTGGGAGAAAAGAACTATCGTTTATTGATTAATTTGAAGTGGTATTTAAACACAGAATTAAATTAGAGTTCTACTCAAAAAACATAATTTGAATTCTAACCAAAAACAAACTCTAAACACAGAATTTAAAAATAATCTTAAACCGCATATATGTCGGTTTTTTATATGTATTCTGCCACCTCTCTATTCGGAGCTTTATTTCCAATAGATTTCTATTATAAATGAAATCTTTACGTCGAACACTCCTCCTTAAGGATTTTATTCATCCCTAACATTTTCCTTAGTTCTTCAAATTTTCCTTTCGGCAAGGACTTGTTAAAAATGTCTGCTGCTTGATCTTCTGTTGCACAGTGTACTAGGCTTACTTTTTTCTCCTTTTCTGTTTCCCTTATAGCGTGGAACTTAACCTTTATATGCTTAGTCTTTCCATGCAACACCGGATTTTTTGCAATGGCGATTGTTGATTTATTGTCCATATAGAGGACCGTAGGTTCAATGGAAAGCATCTGTAAATTATCTAGTATTTTTCTTAACCATTGAGCTTGATTTACTGCTGCTGCTGCTGCTATGTATTCAGCTTCGGCGGATGACTGTGCAACAATTTCTTGCTTCTTTGACGACCATGAAAACGCACCAGAACCAAGTGAAAAAACATACCTTGATGTGCTTTTAGCATCCTCCACACATCCTGCCTAGTCACTGTCCGTGTATCCTAGAAGCTCTCATTTTGTGTGAGCTTGAAAATGGATTCCCAGATCAGTGGTTCCTCTTATATATCTTAGGATATGTTTAACTGCTGTCATGTGTGATTGTCTTGGTGAATTCATAAATCAAGATAACAAGCTAGTTGCATAAGTTAGATCTGGTCGAGTGGCAGTTAGGTAGAGTAAACTGCCAATTTTACTCCTGAACTCTTTCTCATTCACCATTTCTTCTTCTTCAGTTTTTGACAGTTTAATATGTGGTATGAGAAGGGTAGATACGGCTTTACAATTTTCAAGCTTGAATTTTTTGAGTAATTCCCTCGCACACTTTTTTTGTGATATAAAGATCCCTTTCTCAGATTGGGCGATCTCTATTCCCAAAAAATAGGTTGCTCTCCCAAGGCTTGACATCTTAAATTCCTACTCTAGTTGTGTTCTGAGTTCCTCCATTCTTTGTTCATCATTTCCAGTGATGAAAATATCATCAACATACAGTGATATGATGACCATTTTTTCATCCTTTAGGTGTTTGACATATAGGGTTGCTTCGTTCTTGCTTCTTTTAAACCCACAATAGAGCAGGTATGCATTAATTTTGCCATACCATGCTCTGGGAGCTTGCTTCAAACCATACATTGCTTTATGTAATTTATACACACAATCAGCCTTCTCTTCTACTTCAAATCCTATCGGTTGCTGGATAAATATATCCTCTTCCAATTCACCGTTTAAAAAGGCAAATTTTACATCAAGGTGCAAGACATGCCAACCTCTTTGTGCTGCCACAGCAAGCAGAAACCTTATCGTTTCATGTCTTGTTACTGGGGCAAATGTCTCTCCAAAATCCACTCCCAGCAATTGAGCATAACCTTTCACTACCAGGCGTACTTTGTACTTATTGATTGAGCCGTCTGGGTTCATTTTGAGCCGAAAGACCCATTTAACTCCGATTGCATTTTTACCTTTTGGTTTGGGAACCAGAGACCAAGTGGCATTTTTTTTGATCATGTTCAATTCTTCTTCCATAGCTTTTCTCCAAATCTCATGTTGAGCAGCTTCTTCAAAAGTTGTTGGCTCTGCAACAGCAATGTTGCATTGAGCATAGATGTCATATAAGCTTCTTGTCCTTTTATTTGGTGATTTTTCTGACTCTTAATTATTCATTTCTTCATTTTCTTCTTAAGCTTGTTTTGAAGTATAACTTATATCATCAGGGATTATCTTTTCATCTTTCCAATCCCAGTGAGATGCTTCATCAATTACCATATCCCTTCTGGTCATAACCTTTTTAGTTTTTGGATTAAAGACCCTGTATCCTTTTGTTTCTATACTATGACCCAAAAAGATACAAATTTCTGTTTTGTCATCCAGCTTCTTCCTTTTCTCTTCTGCTATATAACAGTAGCAGATGAAACCAAACACCCGTAGATGCCTTGTAGCCGGCTTCCTTCCACTCCAGCATTCATATGAGGTCTTTCCCTCAACAGCCCGAGAGGGAAGTCGGTTTAACAGGTATACAGAAGTGTTAATGGCTTCACACCAAAATTGCAGAGGCAGCTGTTTATCCTTGAGTAAGCTTCTTGCCATCTTAACTACAGTTCTGTTCTTTCTTTCTGATACTCCATTTTGTTGTGAAGAGTAGGGGGCTGTAAGCTGTCGTTTTATACCTTCTTTAATACAGACATCCTTGAATTCCGTTGAAGTGAACTCCAGACCATTATCTGACCTCAAACACTTCAGCTTCATTCCACTTTCTGCTTCTGTTTCAACTTTGAACTCCTTGAATTTTTGTAAAGCTTCATTCTTTGTTTTTATGAAATAGATCCTTGTCATTCTGGAGTGATCGTCAATAAACATGATGAAATACCTATTATTTCTTAGTGACTCTGTGCTCATAGGACCACAGATATCTGTGTGGATCAATTCGAGCTTGGTATTTGCTCTCCAGGAAGACTTTGAAGGGAAGGGTTGTCTGTGCATCTTCTCAAGTTGGCAGATTTGGTAGATCCAGTTTTCTTTTATGATTTCAGGGAGATCTAAACTCAATTTTAATGAGTTCATCTTCTTGAGGGCTTCAAGATGCACATGTCCAAATCTTCGATGCCATAGAATGGTGTCGTTTTGAGTAGCGCACCTTAGTTTTTCTTCAGCTCCTTACAGCTTCAAGGTGAAGCTTCTGTTGATCATTGGAATGTTCGCAAGTTTATATCCACGTGAATCTTTTATGGAGCATGAATTTTCCTTGAAGACCATGGTGTATCCCCTTCTGATTATTTGGCTCACACTTAACAGATTTTGCCTCAAGCCAAGCACATACAGGACGTCAGGTATTACTCTTTTTCCTTGGTTCGTGGTTACTGCGATGCTTCCTTTTCCTTCTATTCTTAATGTCTTTCCATCACCTAGAATTATGTTGAGTTTTGTATCCTTGTTAAGATCAGAAACATTCTTTCATTTTTGCACATGTGGCTTGTACAGCCACTATCAAATATCCAGTGAGTGTCAACTTCCTCTGATTGCTCGCTGAGTGCCATAAACATCTGCTCTTCTCTTTCGGTTTTTTCGGTATAATTTACTTCTTGTTGATACTGATTTTGAGTAGAAGAAGTAGTTGTGTTTCCTTTATATTTTTTCTTCCATCGGCATACATTTTCGACATGTCCCCCCTTCTTGCAGTAATTATACTTGATCGGGTTCTTCCCTTTATACCAGTAGTCTTGTTCTATGTGGTAATTGCGAGCACATATTCTGCAGTTTGGTAATCCCTTTTGTTGCTTATCATTGTGCTTGTTTGAATTTTGTCTTGATCGTGTGAGATGATCATCTTGATTTCTTCTTCCTCCTCTTCCTCTGCCTTGATTCTTGCTTCTGCTTTGTGTAGCTACTAGTGCTCCTTCGGTGGAGTTTGCTTCTCTCAAGGCTATCCTATGCTCCAATGTTTGTAGCTTGCCTAATAATTCTGCAACCGAGAGAATTTTAAGATTGTACGTTTCTTTAATTGTTGAGATTTTTGCCTCGAATCTTGCAGGGAGACTCACCAACATTTTTTCAACTACTCTTCTGTCTTCGAAGTCTTCTCCGAGTAATCTGATCTTGTTTACTGTATCAAGTAATTTTGAGGCATACTCCTTTACGGTTTCTGCCTCTGCCATCTTCAGTGTTTCAAATTGCTTTCTCAAATTCAGAACTTTCACCATCTTGATTCTTTCATCACCTTCAAACTCCTCCTTCAACTTGTCTCATACTTGCTTTGGGTTTCTCAAGTTCATTATTCTGGAGAAGACCGAATCTGATATTGCTGCATGCAAACAAGATAGAGCCCGAGGTTTCTTAGAGACGTCTTCTTCATACCTCTTTAGTTGGTTTATTGTTGTATCATCTTTCAATGATGCTGGTTCTGCATCGTCTTCCACGACCTTCCATAGGCTGTAGGCTCGCAGGTACGTCTCCATCTTTATTGCCCATACGTGATAATTTTCTCCTGTAAATAGAGGAGGATTCAGTGTGCCAGTCAGGTTTGTTGCCATGTTGTATTTTGTTTTTTTTTTTAATTTCTTCTTATAGATCCCTTTAGATCATACAGCTCTAATACCACTTGTAGATTTTTAATCAACAAACTATCACAATTTTTTACTGTAATTTTAGAAAGAGAGTTTAGAGACAGAGAGGACAAGAAAACAGAGTATGTGTATTCGGAGTTCTCTGTTTTCTTGTTTCTCTTAAACTGCAGAAATTTTTGGGAGGAAGGAATTATCGTTTATTGATTGATTTGAAGTGGTATTTAAACACAGAATTAAATTAGAGTTCTACTCAAAAAAAATAATTCGAATTTTAACAAAAAACAAACTCTAAATATATAATTTAAAAAACAATTTTAAACCGCATATATGTCGTTTTTCTATATGTATTCTGCCACCTCTCTGTTCCTAACTTTATTTCAAATAGATTTTTATTATAAATAAAATTCTTACGTCGAATACCAGCAGCACAAAATCCTCAACCTACAACTGCAACCTGCATTGGACAAAAACCAGCAACCTGCAACCTCGACATTCAATACCATACAAGATCAACAAAAAATGACCGAGGATGTTGTACTTAAGAAATTGCTAACTCTCGTCGTCCGTCAACTTTTTTTACCTCCATTCTTATTTGTTATTTTCTATTTTCCATATGAGCATAATGATGTAAAGGTTGAGTTGCCTTACACAACCTGTACAAAAATTATTTCTCAATATAATGAAGAGATTATCAAGAGGAACGTGTTATGCAATTTTAATGATTGATCCTTTGCCATATCTTGCTAAGGTTTTCAAGCAAAAAGATAATGATCTATTAGGACCGGGCTTATTGCTTCGATTCAAATTGCGCACAATGTCTAAGCGCTCCATCTTTAGTTTTCCTTTTCTTCCTTGGCTCTCCTCTTGTCTATTAGAAATCTAACAAATAACAATCACGATAATCCATTGAGGGTGAATATCAGTATATGATCAATACTGGTGAAACTATTTGGTTCCTTGCTTTCCTCAATCATTCAAGTCCACCTCTTCTTTTTCTGTGATAATCAAGCAGCTCTTTATATTGCTGCTAATACTGTTTAAGATCAATTGCTAATCTGTTGAACTGTGTGGAAATGGACTTTTGGGTTGGGTTGGGTTGGCATTTTGGCCTCTTTCTTTTCTTGGTTTGATATAATAATGATATTAATGATTATAATAACAGTAATCACAATAAAGGTAATTTAAAACTAAACTAAAAATCATTCCTACCAACTTTTGGGTAAGACCAGCTTTGGCTAACGTTAATTAGAACAATTATTATTCAAATAGGAAGATAGGTAACTTGTTTGTGAAGTTATGTCCATAACCCAAATACTAGGCAGGCTAGTCGCAAGCACACCTTTCTCAATCCGCAAACCAATTCTTGCAAGCTAAACCAACCAAACAGATCCTTAGAAAGATGCACTTCAAAATTACTAATTAACTATAGGATTTATATTATATATGCACGCATACACATTGATACAAATAGGATTTCATCTATTATCCATTTTGTCCTTTTGATTAATACGTTTGGAATTGAAAATTGTTCTCATTATCCTCACTTTGGAATAGAATATGACTGCTTATATTTTGTCTGAAGAGGTCTTTTCCAAAATGGATGTCTACTTACAAAAATGTTTTTTTTTTTTTTAAGTGTATCGAAATTACTCTTATAGAAGAAGAAAGTTTTAACTTACAATGCAATAGGAATACAAATCGATTACCATGAAGCTTGTGAGAAACTCTCCTAAACAATCAAATTGTACTGGGAGGCCTAAATTGGTGTACAAAACAAGTTTAATTACCGTGCAATATTTTTGTAGCCTTTCTTGGTTATCCTTGCACGACTCCCTCATCGTTCCTTTATTCTTTCTATCTTTGTTTCCATCTAAGAGCTCTCTCTCTCTCTCTCTCTCTCTCTCTCTATATATATATATATATATATATATACTAAGTATATGCATATGTTTCTTTAACATGTTTTTCACGTAATTTTCTTGAATTCAGAAATGGATAACTATCTTAATTCCCTCCATTGTCCTGTCTCCAAGAAGAAAAATGCCTTGCCAATTGATACCCCCTTCAAGCTTCCATCTCCTCTGCCTCCTTGGCCACCAGGTAATTCACCTCCACTTCCATACTTGTCTGATTTCTTATAAGCATTTAATTCGTCTATATAACTGTGTGTATACCATTACATTCATATACATATAACTATGCATGTTTTTATCTGCGGTTTGCTTGGCTTATATTCACTGATATTTTCGTTCTATTCTGCTCCCTGCCTGCCATCTGTTTTGTGGTCAAGGTGGCTCGTTTTCTTCTTAATCTTAACAAAGCTTTTACTTCCGAATATATATATATTATATTATATTATACAGGTCAAGGATTTGCAAGTGGAAGCATGGATCTAGGTGGTGGATTGCAAGTATGTCAGATATCTACATTCAACAAAGTTTGGGCAACCTATGAAGGCGGCCCAGACAATCTTGGAGCCACCTTCTTTGAACCTTCAGCTTTGCCTCAAGGATTCTGTATGCTGGGCTGCTATGCTCAATCCAACAACACACAACTCTGCGGTTGGCTTCTTGCTGCTCAAATAAACACTGATGCTCTCACCATGCCAATCGATTACACTCTTGTTTGGACCAGTGAAACTCTCAAAATCAAGCAAGACGGTTTTGGCTACTTCTGGCTACCTTTGCCACCCGATGGTTACAAGCCTGTTGGATTCCTCGTTACAAACTCATCTGACAAGCCTCCTCCAGAAAAAATTCGCTGTGTTCGATCTGATCTTACCGACAACTGCGAGATTGATTCATGGATTTGGGGAGCAGGGGATGACAAGAGTGGATTAGGTGTCTACGACTTGAGGCCGAGCAACAGAGGAGTCCAGGCTATGGGAGTGAGTGTTGGAAGTTTTCTGGTCAAACCCCCAGGTGCCAACAATACCGCTGTGTCTCTTTCCTGTCTGAAGAATACGAGCTCCAATCCAGTATCTTGCATGCCCAACATCACCCAAATTCAATCAATCTTCAACTCCTACTCTCCTTGGATTTATTTCCATCCTGAAGAAAAATATCTTCCATCCTCTGTCAACTGGTTTTTTACCAACGGGGCACTCTTGTACGAGAAAGGACAAGAGTCCCAACCCGTATTAATTGAACCAAATGGCTCCAACCTTCCCCAAGGTGGCTCCAACGACGGGAACTACTGGTTGGACCTTCCGGTTGATGAAAACGCCAAAGAAAGAGTCAAGGAGGGAGATTTACAGAGCTGCCAAGTGTATTTGCACGTCAAGCCAATGCTAGGAGCCACCTTTACTGACATAGCAATATGGGTTTTCTTTCCTTTCAACGGACCCGCGAGGGCTAAAGTTGAATTCATCAATATCTCTCTGGGAAAGATCGGTGAACATGTGGGTGATTGGGAGCACGTGACGTTGCGAGTGAGCAACCTCAACGCTCAGCTCTATGGGGTCTACCTGTCACAGCACAGCAGAGGCAGATGGGTGAAGGCTTCGGAGCTCGAGTTTGAAGGTGGTAACAAACCTGTGGTGTATGCGTCCTTGCATGGCCACGCCATGTATCCCAGGGCAGGTCTTGTTTTGCAAGGAAGAAAGGGGATAGGAATCAGAAATGACACGGGGAAGAGCCAGATGGTAATAGACGCTGGAGCAAACTCCTACATAGTTGCAGCAGAGTATATGGGCAGCGCCGGCATGGATGAACCACCGTGGCTTAACTATTTCAGGAAGTGGGGTCCAAGGATTGACTATGATATCGAGGAGATGGTAAGGAAGGTGGCAAAAGTATTGCCTGGAACCCTCAAATCTTCATTTAAGAACTTCATTAACAGTCTCCCTAGGGAACTATTGGGAGAGGAAGGTCCTACAGGTCCTAAAATGAAACACAACTGGACTGCAGATGAAGATTAGTATCTATTTTATTTGAAATGTCTTCTGACATTACCCTTTTTCCTTTCAAATGTTTGTAAAGCCAACAATTGTTTGTGGTAAATTAATATCTACTTTATTTGAAATGTTTTTTTTTTTTTCTGGCAGTCTCAAATACTCTATTATTTATTTTATTTAAAATGTTTATATGTTTTATTACAAAATTATTAGAAGAACTAACTTGAAATTAATTTTGAAACTGTACGAGAACCTTAGTCTCAATATACGATTAGATAAGAATTTTATTCCAAGGGATTAATGATGAAGTGTCTAGATTGCAACTGAGAAACCAAAAATAACAAAAATTTTATTTTTACAGAGTAGAGAACAACTAACAGAAGAAGCAAACACGGCTGGCCGTACGTTGCAGAAAGCTTGGCATGCTCGACGTTCAAAAAGAAAATTCTGTGCGTATATCTGGCTGACATATAAGGACACAAGAGAAAACAAAGCTAACCGTTGTACGTTGTAGAAAGACATGTTTTGATTTCATTAAAAGAAATCATACATGCATCTTCCTGTTTCGTGAATTGATGACATATTAGGAGAAAATATAGATCTCGATCATGGAGGCAAAGGAACTTTCTATTTCCAAAACAGCTGATGGAATTGAAGTATGTTACAAAAGAAATTCAAGTTTACTTTTCAGCCCCTTCAGGATTTCGAAAGACGAAGATTTAAACAGAAACACCTTGCACACATCTCTTCCATTCTTCATCATGCAATTGTTTGTTGCCAATGTTGTTTATCGCTTCTTCTTCTTCGTTGCTAGATATCTCCGGATACCTCCTTTTGTTGCCCAGATCCTTGTAAGTTACATGTACGCTACAATCACTCCTAATAATTCATTTTTATTTTTCAATGTGTAACGTTATTAATTAATTTATACGCATGTTTGCAGTGTGGTCTGTTAATAGGTCCTTCTGGGGCCGGAGAGACTCGCATATTCAAGAATTTTGTATTACCATATCGATATACAGCGGTGCTAGAGACATTTGCAAACTTTTCTCTTATCTTCTACATGTTCTTGTTGGGTTTGGAGATAGACCTGTCTCTAATTAAGCGGTCTAGAACCAAGGCTCTTAGCATTTCTGTTGCAGGAATTCTTGTCTCCTTCTTTGTAGCCTTGCTCTGCTTTTACCAGTATTATGAGGACGTAGGCAAAGGTGTATTCTGGGCTGCTGCTCTTGGAGACACAAGCTTCTCCGACCTGGTCAGAATACTCTCTGATCTCAAGCTCCTTCGCACTGAAACTGGCAAGACAGCCATGTCTGCAGCCATTATCAGTGATTTAATCACTTGGATTCATCTCATATTTATTGTTTCAATCTTTAACAAGGTAAAGAGGTTCAAATTTCTGGCCTTAACCGCCACAATTGGCTTCCTCTTGGTTTGTTGGTTTCTAGTACGTCCAGCTCTATCTTGGATAGTTTCAAAAACCACCAAAGCAAAAGATCAGGTGACTGAGACCCAAATATGGTTTGTTTTTGCTGGGATCGTGCTCTTCGGACTCATCACCGATGCACTAGGTGCCCATTCCATCGTTGGTGCCTTCATGTTTGGGGTTATTATGCCAGACCACCATCCTATAAAAAATACACTTGTTGAGAAGCTAGATGATTTTGTGTCTGCCATTTTGATGCCTCTTTTCTATATCACTAGTGGGTTAAGAACCGATATTTGGTATCTTTTCAGTAAAACTGAAGGTTGGACGCCGATCATGTGGACCATAGTTGGGTGTTGTGCAGCCAAGATTGTGAGCACATATGTCGTTTCTTTCTTCTACAGAACACCATCCAAAGACAGTTTGGCTTTAGGCTTGCTCATGAACACAAAAGGCATTTTGTCTCTCATCATCATCAACGTCGGCCGTGACATGAATGTGCGCATGCATACACACATACATCATCATTAACGGCATCATTTATTTATTTATATATATATATATATATACACACACACACATTCAAGTTATCAATATAACATACATGTTCTTAATCAAAATCTGCATTACGTAGGTGTTGGACAGCATAACGTTTCCACAGATGGTCCTAGTGCTTTTTACAATGTCGTGTCTAGCAAAGCCGATCCTGTACCTGAGTTACAAGCCCAAAAAGGCACAAAATAAGCACAAGACGATGGAAAAAATCCAGTCGAATGCGGAGTTTCGGGTGCTAGCATGTGTCCATAACCTACGTAATGCATCAGCAGCCACTAGCCTCCTTCGAGATTCTAAGGCCACCCCACAATCACCACTCTTCATCTTTGCCATCCATCTTATCGAGCTCACCGGCCGAACTACAGCTTCCATGCTCGTGATGGACGACGAATATAAGACTAGACATCACTTCAGGCATAACAAATCAGATCATGTAGAGGATGGCTACATTCTCAACGCTTTTGGAGCGCTCGAGGAAGAGGAAAGCAACATCACAACTCATACCGTCACTGTTGTCTCACCTTATGAAACCATGCACGAAGATATTTGTAGCCTAGCGGAGGACAAGTGTGTTAGCCTCATCATCCTGCCGTTTCACAAGGAAGTGACTAGCACTGGTAACATGGAAGAGGAAAATATAGACTTTGCAAATGTTAATCAGAACGTGTTGAAAAATGCACCCTGTTCTGTGGGCATACTAGTGGATAATGGGATGAACATAAGTCGGGCAAGGTCGCAACATGGGTCCAACCGCTGGTCTGGTGGGCATAGCCTTGTCATGAAGAAAAATGTGATCATGTTCTTCCTGGGAGGGCCGGATGATCGAGAGGCTTTAACATACGCATGGAGGATGACCGGAAATCCAAAGGTGAAGTTAACAGTGGTGAGATTTCAGATAGGTGAGGAAGCATTAATGGGAGAACCAGCGTGGCAAAGGGAGAAAAAGAAGGACGAGGAGCTCTTGTATGAGTTCAGATTCAAAACAATGAATGATCCAAGGGTGTTGTACATGGAGAAAGTGGTGAATGATGGAGCAGAGACAATAAAAAGTATAAGAGAAATTGAAAACGACTTTGATTTGTGCATCGTAGGAAGGGGTAAGGGATTGGAATCACAAATATTTAAAGGGCTTTCAGAATGGGAAACTAGCCTGGACTTGGGAATAATAGGAGACGCTATGGCTTCTTCTACTCTCTCATCCCGGACCTCAGTTCTAGTGGTGCAGCAGTATTCAACAAATAAGAACCCAAATTATGAGTTTGAAAACTTTTCCACCTCCACCCATATTGAAACAACTCAACTTGATGCGAAGCCATTCATGAGCCACAGTAGGATGGATGAGGATGATGAGGACGACGATGAGGATCACCACTGATCAAAAACATTTCAGCTTAACGTGTCACCTTGTAAGATTTGTGATTGTAATATTCTAATTTTGTCCAAATCAATTTTTTATTTTTTATTTTTAAATTTGAAAATATTATTATTTTTATTATGTGATTGAAAAATGAGAGAGATTTAAAAAAAAACAGAGAAAATTGAGGAAAACAAAAAAAAAAGAAGAAAAATATATAAATTAAATTAATTTCAAATTAATCAACACGAACAAATAATAATAATATCAAACCAAATTAATACACAGTCGAACAAAAATAATAAGTAAAAAATTATTAGATCTCAAATAAGAATATAAATAATTGTGTAAATTAAAGTAATTTAAAATTAATTAACAAAAACTAATAATAATAATCTCGAACTAAATTAATACACAACCGAGTAAAAATAATAAGCAGAAAGTGTGTGTGTGTGTGTGTGTGTATACACAGACCCCTTCCCTTTTCTCTTCTCCTTCCCTTTCTCTTCTTAATTTCTTCTCTCTCTCTCTTTCTTCTCCCCTTGGTTTTTTTCCTGGTTTTTTTTCACTTCTCAGTTCTCGTTCTTTTCCGACTCTGCTCCTCTTTTTTCATAGGTTAAAAAAGTTTGTGTCTGTATTTGTCATAACTTTCAGTAATGGATGTAAAGTTGGTCGATTATTGTAAGACATTTTTCTATAGTACTGTCATTAACTAGGGATTAATAAGGCAGTGATGGAAGATATAATACGTACATGTATATGTATATAGTGCTTAATGGTTTGGTTAGTGATCCCACACCGGATATTACGATAAAAATGCCGCATTTCCAATTAAGAAAATGCATGAAAAATATGACAAGTAATTTTTTTACTAAACAACTTAATTATTTACTCGCCGTAGACAAATTACATCGGTCTTTATAGGTTCATTTAGCTTTTTTTTTTTATAAATATTTTTATATTATTTAGACTAATATCTATAATTTAGATTTTCTTTTAATTGTAATATTTATGTTCTTATACCTTAGAAAATTAATATGAAAATTTGCAAATCTAATTTTACTTTTTTTTTCTATGAACAAAATAATTGTGAAAATACTTCTATAATTTATTTAAGGATGTTGTGGATTTAATTACAATTTCATCTAAATCCATTGAATCTTATATTGTATACATGTTTGTAATATTCAAATATATATAATTAAATATAGTTAAAAATATCATTTTGTAAAAATCTTTAGTACTATTAAAATAATACCTCTTTTTTTTTTATTACAAAGTTGTGCTTCATGTATATATATTTAATAGTCTATTATATACATACATATATATATGTATAGTTCTTTAGTCTATTCAGTGTCTATTGGTGAGTATTGTATTTAATAAAAATATTGATTTAAAATTTTAAAACTAATAACTTCAAGCAATATTAGTTAACATTGAGAAAACCATTTTTGGAAAATATTATGTAACGATTAGATTAATTAATTAATTGTATATTTTTGTAATTGTTGTAAATAATTTAATTGACAGCAATACTCACAAATTAGGTGATTGACAATAAATCTCACAACTTAAGTAATTGATAACAAATCTTACAAATTTGTTGATCGACAGCAAAAAAACATAAATTAAGTAATTAGCTAGAATTAAAATATTTGATTGATCGTTAATCTCATCTTGTGCGTGTATATATACCACATTTTTACTCAATGAAAATCAAGTTATTACTTTTAGTTTCATATGATATTAGAGCCACCACGCTGTTGGTATGTTTATTCCCTTCTCTCTTTTTGTTTTCTCTCAATATTCTCCACATTCTCTTTTCAACCATATGACTTATGAAGACGTCTCTGCATCTTCTACTACTCATACCATCATTCAAATACCCA